TAATAATTGTTATAGCAAAAAAAGCAAAAAAAAATTGCACCAAAATGACTTACAACTGTTGGGCGATGTTCCATAATTGGATGAAAACCTTCGAGCTGAAATTTTTATTTTGAAAAATTTTTCTCTTTTTTTATCTTTTTTATCTGATAAAAATTTTTTTGCATTTCAGAATTAGAATTTGTTTGTTATTCTTGCATTAAATTTCTTTTAAATGTCGAATTTTTTACATAAATTAAAAAAAAAAAGAGAAGAGAAAATAAAGGTGACAAACTTTAATATCCTTGAAACCACCATTAACACGGACGTATAATTGTTGATTTGATATGCAAAAAGTAAGCGAACCGATAGGCATACCATGTGAAGCGGTAAATAATTCAATTGTTGTTGGATAGACTTGAACCTATAAAAAATTTATTACTGTTAATTGTATTTTATTTCTTACAAAAAAGTTTTAATTTTTAAGCTTATCAATTTTATGCTCACGGATGAAAAGTAATTGCAGTACATATAGCTATAAAAAAATGAAATATAATGGAAAGATTAAATGAAAAATTTTTAAAATTTTTTAGAATACATGAGAATTTTTCATCATAATTTAATTTGAATTTTATCAAAATATTCAATTAAACGGGAAGTGCTATATTTTATTTGCCTAAGTTTAGCATAAGATTAAAATTTTTTCTAGAAAATCAACGAATTTGCTTGCTTGCTTTTGCTTTTTCATCGTCATGATTTTATTTAATTGGTTATTTGAATCTTTTTTTTAATTTTCAATTTTTTTTTAAAAAATATTTTTACTCCTCCAGGTGCAGTATGTATTGGTTGCGGATAAGCGGCTGATGATGGTCCGCCTGGTCCAGGAGGACCAGGTGGTCCTGGTTGTCCAATTGGACCCATTGCACCTACTGGTCCGGTTTCACCACGTTCACCTGTAAAACAAGTTATAATTAAATGGCAAATTTAATTTTTAAAACTTGATTGCTTCAAGAAATTTATGCTATCAAAATAGGAATGATTAACCTTTTTCGCCTTTCATAGCATAACGATATTGATAAGGATCAGTTTCCTTACTTACACTTGAATGACGAATTGGTATTCCTGGGAGGCAATCACCTTTTTCACCCTGTAATTTTTTTATAAAATATAATGTTTAATTAGCTTTATTTAATTTTTTTTTTGATTAATTTAAAACTTTCAATTAATTTCTTTAAGAAAAAGTGCAGTTTCAGACTTTAATTCGAGGATCGCTAATAATTCTTCTGATATCCTCGGGATGCAATCTCTCGCAGCGGCCTGGAAGTCCTGCAGGTCCTGGCAATCCTGGTTCACCGATACCTGGTGGTCCTGGTGGTCCTCTTGGTCCTAAAATACTAAATTGTATTCGTGACTAATGACAAATTCCCTAACAAAATTGGTATAAAATTAAGTAATAGAAACTCACCCATTGGTCCAGGTGGTCCTTGTGGTCCAGTGGGACCAACGATGGTTTGAACTCCTTCTGCTCCTTCTTGTAGTACCGGAGCTGGTAGTCCAGGTGGTCCTGGTGGACCAGGTGGTCCCATTGGTCCTATTGGTCCCGTATCTCCTGGTCTTCCAGGTATACCATCACGTCCATCACGTCCTGACTGACAGTTGATTGGACACTGAAATTATTACGAAAAATTTAATATTTATTAGATAATAGTATTTACTTTTCGTTTTCAACCAAATTTATTAACAGTTAAAAATACGAGAAGCAAAAGTTTACTAACAGTTCCAGGTGATCCTTGTGGGCCGGTTGCTCCCGGTGGTCCTGGTTCACCGCGGTCACCCTTATCGCCTTTTTCACCCTTTTCTATCTTCACTGAAAAAATTTTGCATGCTTAATAATGAATTATAACGCGAAAAATTAGAATCTTATAAGCAACCGATAACTTTCAAACTAATCTTTTTTTTTTTTTTCATACAACATTTTAGCATTACATCTAAGAAAGAGGAAAAAAGCATTACTGCAACTTTAATGTACAACTGGTACCAATTAAATAGCAATAACATTTTCGTATCATTAAAGGATAGAGACAATGCAAGATGTAAAATTTAAATATTGCAAAATTTCAAAAATTGAAATTGAAATGATTTCATTCCGTTTGCTTGTTATAATTATTTCACAAAAATATTATTAAAAAAAAAAATTAAATAATTATATATGCACAAATATGTAGTAAACTATTTTCATGCTTGCTATATAATAAGTAAAATAAAGAATTATATTTTTATTTTTGCTTTTTTTTTTTTAAACAAGCAATCTTATTTTTCTAACGAAAAAAAAATATAGACAAGTAATTAATTCATAAATTGGGAAAAATTTTCGTATTTACAAATTTATTAAAATATATTTACAAAAAGAAAAAGAAAACAACTAAAATAATACAGCGAGCATGCATTCGCATCTATTATTATTATCATTCTACAGCATGACCCTTCTACAAATGCCAAACCATCGGTACGATAACAACGGTTATTCCAAAATTCGTGAATTTTCGATTTTCTTTCCAATAATTGAACCGGTTCCGGTCTTGGAATAACCGGAATAGCAGTTTCACAGGAGGGTAAAATTAAACTATCTGTATGTTTGCCAACAATAAACTGGACATTGTTGTTAAAATATGATGAGTAAGATGATGAAGAAGAGGAAGAAGAGGAAGAGGAAGGATTATGATCATCTGAAAATTATCACTATCGCAAACAAAAAAAAAAAAAATTTCAAGAAATACGATAATACTAGAATTTAAAACAAATAACAAAAAAAAAAAATTTCAAAAAGTACGATAATTCTGGAATTAGAAATTTTGTGAAAAAAAAAAAGAAATCATTATCAAAAACATAATTTTTTTCTTTTTAAAATTGAGGTATAAATTTGCTCTAAACTAACAATTCAAATCTTTAGAATTATGAAAATTAATTGAATTAAGATTACTTAAT